TGCGGCATCAACTTGTGCAATGGTTGGGCCAGGTTTGCTTCCTAGATTGGCTTCTGAACCAATGACATATGGAAATATACTTTCATGGAAGACTACATCACGGGAGACAAAATATTCACCTCTTTCAACATCATATACGTGCCAAGCTTTCTTTCCATAGGGATAACCCACAAAAACACACTTCCTACTCTTTTCTCCAAACTTATCCTTGTCTCGAGGACTCCAATGGGCATAGCAAAGACAGCCAAATACTCTCATGTGCTCGTATTGAGGTGGCGTCCCGAACAGTACCTCATACGGAGTCTTCCCGCCAAGTACAGAAGAAGGTGTCATGTTTATCAAGTATCCGGCGGTTAAGGCACACTCCCCTCAAAACCGAATAGGTAAACCTACTTGAAACCTCAATGCTCTGGCAACATTCAAAATATGCCTATGTTTTCTTTCCACTCGACCATTCTGTTGGGGTGTTCCAACACAGGAGGTCTGATGCAGAATGCCATGAGTCTCGAAGTATGACTTCAGGCCTTTAAACTCTATTCCATTATCACTTCGAACAACTCTGACTTGCTTGCCAAATTGGCGTTCTGCCATGGCATAAAAATTTTTAACAATATGTGCTACTTCACTTTTTTCAAGCAGCAGGTAAACCCACACAGCACGAGAATAATCATCAACAATGGTTAGAAAGTAAACGGCACCACAAGAGGCCGGTACTTTATAAGCACCCCATGTATCACAATGAATTAGAGAGAAACAGTCATCGGCTATGTTTACTTTCAGAAAAAACTTCCCTAGTTTGTTTTGCTCTGTAACAAACATCACATGGCTTATCTCTTTCAGGTCTACTGTTGAATTTACCTACTTTAGGAAGTGAAGATAATATCTGTTCAGACGGATGTCCCAATCTACGATGCCACAACTCCCATTCACTCATTCTACTTGTTTTATTTTCCCGAACCGGTGCTGCTCCTCTAAAATGATAGACCCCATCACACTGCTCACCCGCTCCAATCAGAGTCCTCAAGGTTTAGTCCTGTATCACGCACAACTTGTCAGTAAAAGTGACTACAATTTATCTCTTGCAATAATTTAGCTACAGAAATAAGGGTGCAGTTCATTCTTGGTACAAAGAGCACATGATGTAAATAAATATTTCCACCCAAATGCACAGTCTCTTCCTTTACTGCAGTAGTTTGCTTCCCATTGGGAAGTTCCACCGGACATGGTGTAATATTCCGAACATCAATCAATAAATTAATTTCTCCAGTCATATGGTGCGATGCCCCGGAATCAATTATCCAATCAATAAATTTTTTCTAACGGAAAGTCTTTCAGATTTATGTGAATTCAAAATATTGAGAAGTGTTGTCCATTGGTCTCCACTTAGCCCCAGAAACCCGCTACGGTCATGATCATTTGTGATTCCAACCTTCCGTCCTCCAGTCTCACTTCCTGCTGCTTGGGCAGCGTTTGCTCTTGCCTTGTTTCCTCGTCCTCATTCGCCGATCATGATGAAGAGTTTGTCTATACGCCTTCTGGTTCGCTGGTCGATGAGCAACGGCCACCTTCAGGTAGTGTGTTTGGTGTGCTCTACAGGCGGTAATCAGAGATTACGACAGTCGCGCAAATCCTCCCAATTTCTGGGGTTCGTCGAACTCCAGATGAGGTTTGCGAAAGAAGTGCGGCCACGGTACCTTGCAGAAGAATCCAAGAAACCCAAGGGCCTATGCAGCAAGATTAGATTCCAGAGGATATATCGATCAACCGGCAGAATACAACAGAAACCATCAACCGGCCCGAACTAGTTTTCAGTTCATGAAAACCAAATCAAACACTCCGCTTCATGCTTCGGCATAGGATCTGTCAATCTTGATCATACTCCGTCGCACTGTGGAAACCAACGGTCTGGAAGGCAGGGTCGAAGAAGTCCTCTCGGAAATAGAGGAGAGAGAACAGTCCGTGTCGAAGATGACGAAACTCTCTCTGGATTTCATCGTAGAATGCGAACCCAAACTCTGGTCACTGTCTCAGAGATGGGGACGATGAATCAGTAGCTTTGCCGCTGCTCTTTCCCGCTCAGAAGTTTTGCTGCCGCTACTCTGGTTCAGACGGAGACAACTAATTGGCCCAAACTACCATGGCCGCAACTGCCACTGCTTTGCCACTGTACTTTGCCGGCACCGAGCTATGTCACAACCGCCACTGATTTCCAGGTCTTAGAACAGAGACCTCTTGCTCCTGTTCTTGCTCTGATACCATGAGAAAAAACTATGTGGAATTTGTTCTTGTTCTTTATTTTGAAAGGTACATCCCTAAATATACAAATAGGAGACTCAGTTTCAATAGTTGATTGTTCAAATACATCTAGGAATATAGAGCACCCACTGAAGGTTGTGTTTCGGTAGGAAGGTTACGTGCAGATCTGGTTTCCCAATAAAGGGGAAGCAGGGAGGGTTTTTGTGTTCTCGCCGCTGCCGCCCGTTGCTGGATTAATTAGTGTCACTGCTCGCCGCTTGCCGGTGGTAGATGACAGAAGATGAAGGCTGAAACCCAGCCAAAAGGTCCCTGCCGCCTGGGTGGAAAGACAAAGTCTCGAAGGGGAAGCAGGAAGGGGTTTTGCGTTTTTTTTTTCTCGAAATTGCTATTTCTATTAGGAATAGGATTTGGGAAATTAGGAGTTAAGATTAAGACTTAAGAGGGAAACTATTTTACCTACTTACCCCTGTAAGTTCAGTTTTTTTTGGTTAACCGAATTTCTAAATGCCATAATCGAAACCGAAAACCGAACTTTAAGAAATCGATGTTTATAACCGAATCCCCAAACTAACCGACCTGAAAACACCGAACTTGAAATTCTAGTTCGGCTATTCAGTTTTAACCGAAGTATGTTCACCCCTAATTTTAACCCTTATAATAAATATAAATAGGGAAAATTTCTTAAACTACCTTTAATATTTAGGAAATTGACTAATTCTACCCCTACAATTTTAGTATCTTAAAGTATCCCTACTGTTTCTGACAATTGACTAACTCTACCCCTACCATTAGCATCTGTTAATGCTCAGGTACAATCTGTGCACATGTGACCCCACGTGATGTATAAATTTTTTTCAAAATCCAATATTACCCTTTTCTTTATACCTTAGTGGCAGACTACACTAAACCCGATCTTCCGATTAACTGAACTATAGCCTCATACAGGGGCAAGAGGGAGGGAGAGAGAGAGAGGCCAGATGTGTTGGCTTTGAAAGTTGAAACTAGTATAGATACATGATAACCCTCCGCTCACATCTGCATTTGTATTTGTTCAAAGCTCCTCCATAGCTGCCCACCTCATCTCATAACAACGAATCCTGATCTGGACCTGGGTGGTGAAGACAGACTAAGGAAGATGAAGAAGAACCAGAGTACTTTAAGATATTGATGGTAAGGAAGATAAGCCTCGACAATCTGAGAAAGGTGTCAAAAGTTTCATTTTGAAAATTTAAAAGAATAATGATGGGCAAAATAGTCTTTTTAATCCTTCCGTTAATAGACATTGATAGTAAGGAAAATTTAGTCAATTCTCAAAAATAATAGGGGTACTTTAAGACAATACTAAAACAATAGAGGTATAGTTAGTCAATTTCTTAAACCTTAAGGGTAGTTTAAGAAACTTGCCCATATAAATATGTGAAATTGTGCTCGGATCTATATAATGTCATTCCAAGACACTAGGAGCAACTTTCCATACTTATATGATGTCATTCAATGGGAGATGTTCCCAATGTACAGCTCGACTTTAAAGTGTTGTGAATAGCATATTCGACTCGGGATCTGCCAAGGTTTAAAGTATTGTTACGTATCGGCCCATATCGGCCAATACGTATCATTCTAGGGCCCTTCCAATACGCCCCTACAGTGGGTGTATCGGGGGTCTGACTGGTTCAGGGGATGGAGGGGTCCTAGACCGACTCCCCTGAACCAGTTTTGAAAAAAAAAGGTAAAAAACAAGTATCAAAACGCCCAATACGCCCCTATTAGCATATCAGACGTATCGATATTTTGAACCTTGGGATCTGCTACCCACAAGTTGCACCCACAGCCATACCCACAGAGCACCACCACCATGTGTTGGGAACATCTCCCATCAACGACAAGGGAAATATTCCCAATGTACAGTTGTCATGTCTCGTGGGTAGAGATGTGGGAACATCTCATGGGTGGCAGAGATTCAGAGTCTGTGAAACCATATGGGGTGTCCGAATTAAATGACACCTTTCTACAACTTGAAGAAATAAAACCATAATTAACTTCGGCTTGGGATTTGATTTGCGGTAATTCTTGATTAGTTGAGCACTGGCCATTGTTTGAACTTTGATCCACGATTGAAAAGAATCACCTGTGGAAATGGATAAATAAGTGCAATTGAAGGAAGCTATTCCCAAGTTCGATAGAGTTCACGATGGCACCTAGACCACAAGCCTTCAAATTTTGTATTTTGCGTGATTTTAGTTTCATTTCCACTTCAATCCAAACACAGCTTTAACAATCCCTTCACAACCAGAGGGTTGTTATGATATGAGACGGGTGAACATTCAACCAGTCAATCTCGAAAGGTGGGAATCTGATTGAATCAGAAATTCAGAATCCAATTAGGAACCATTAGATGGATGGACTCTTTATGGGGAAGATCTCAATTAACCAGCTTGTTAGAATCAATCAAACACATTGGCCGACATACTTCATTTTTCAACGATCTCCCGTGAGAACACAAGCTGGAGGATCCAGATCATGGGGGCACTGAGTCAGTATCACCAGGTAAATGATAGGCAGACCACCTAACAAGGATGAGCATGGCCTCAATAACTTGAATTCCAAAAAGATTATGGATTTCGTTATTTGAATTATTAATTACCAAAACCATCCACAAATAGCCAACTGCCAAGAATAGCCACTCAATTGAAGCAGATAACTGTGAAAAGAAACATGTATAATCATATATTTCCACTCATGCGATCTTCTAAAGCTACTCAGACATTGCTACAAATCTATTATAAGAGAATATCATCCAGTGATTTATTTGATCAAATGCAGGACCCAATCAACCAATACAGGCAATATATATGTAAAATACAGGAATCAACAAGCATGATATGTTTATCAATTTGAACTTCTATTGTTCCAATACATGCACTAGGTGGGAAGTCTTAAAAATCAGCAAACCGACTATTTCCCTGATTACTCTCCTACTTGACCAAGGAAAAGCTTAGTTCTTCACAGACGTCACATGCCTGAGAAGCATGTGGGCAACATCATGGGATACCCTTGCAGCCTCTGTTTTCAAGTGTTGAATTTTAGCCTCAGTCTCTTGCTCAAGGCGTTTCACATTAGCACCTGAATCTCCGCTGCTCTGTTTGGTAATCAGTCAGAGGAGAGAGAGAGAGAGAGAGAGCTCAAGTTAGAATAAAGATAGAATAAAAATATGAAAAATAGAAGTTCCACAATGAGACAGGTGGACTCTTTCTCCAAAATGTGCAATGATAAATCATGAGAGTGACGTTGCCAGTGGGCTCAGTTGGTAAGGTCTCTGTTTAATTGTGGGGGAGACTTGGGATTAAATCCCACTATCACCAGGGTTGGGGGTTATGGGTAGGAGCATGGGATACCACTCGTTGTGTAGCCCTATGAACCAAAAAAAAATTGATAAATCATGTGAGTACAAGGGCGGGCCTATGAAATCAAATTACTGGGTTTGCAGGTTAATCCAAAGGCCTCAATAAAAAAGCAAGCTCATGCTGGCTGAGACATGCATGAGCTATGATTAATCCACCTCTTTCTAGAAAAGGCCATTATAAATAGAATTTGACTGGAATTCCATTCTTACCTCTGCAACTTTCTTCTGAAACTCAGCCTCCATTTGGGCACGATATTCAGCAATATCCTTATCCGCCTCTTCTTTGGCCTGTTTCAGTCTAGCCATTTTTGCTAAAAGAACAAACCAGAGTGTATAGAAAACAACAATTAGTTAAAGTATACATTTGAGGTGTACAAATAATTTTTTTTGATCAATAACTGTGAAATGTATTAATTAATATTAGGAAGAATTACAAAGCAAGGGGGCTAAACAATCTTAGCTCCCTAGAACAGTCTATGAGCAGCAAATACAATTACAATAAAGCCCAAAACAAAGAGTTCCTATTAACCCCTTGCCTAGCTAAACCATCTGCCAGTGAGTTTGCACTTCTCTTAACCCATTTGTACTGAATTTCAACATCCTTAGTCAGCCACTTAAATTTTCTTTTTTCATTGCTGTACTTCCATATCCTTGAGTTATCCTCTTTTAACCAGCTCACCACCACTTCGGAGTCTCCTTCAATGATCAGCTTACTAATTTGCAGCTCCTTGGCTCTTTGTACCCCTTCAAGGGCTACAAGAATCTCAGCCCTCAAGGAGTCTCCTTCCCCAATTGGTCCTGAAAACATAGCTAACAGATTCCCATGTTCATCTCTTATTGCTCCCCCTATTCCAGATGGACCTGGATTACCCATACTGCTGCCATCAAAATTCGGTTTAATAAACGTCCTGCTAATGTTTGTCTTACATGGTAATTCCAAGCCTGGATAAAGGAGGGTGGTTTCATCCTTTCAGGTTGGCAATGAGCACAAAAAACTCTGGCTAATACAAATATATAATATGAAGACAAATCGGGACTAACTATTTGACAGAAAACATGGCTCTTGATGGAGTGCAATGGCATGGGATTTGTGTAGCTGACCCCAAATAGTTGGGATTAAGGTTGAGTCAAGTTGTCTGAATGACCCAAGAATCTTCTAGAGGCAATATGGAGGGTTAGGGCTCAAATGGGTGATATATGTTCCTCTGACTGCCCTCTATCTTTGCCATGTGGCAAATCACTATTTTATGTGAATGTCACATGGCAAAAATAATAGAATTATCAAGACTCAACCCACAAGTTTTTTTCCCAAGTTTTGGAGGGGGGGGGGGGTAGCTGATGAATTAGATGTAGTGGTTGATGCATCATCTATCATGTCCCCACTTGACCCAAAAACAGGACCATTCCCCCTCTTGAAAGTGAATCAGTTCATACTGTTAGCCAAATATTTAGTTTCCTGAATGTGATCATGTAGTAGCTGCTATGGACCTGGGCCTCCATCTCTCATACAACAAAAGATCACATTTAAGTTGAATTTCCAAGAAATGTGGAAGCTGAACAGCCTTTAAATCCATAAAACCCAAAGAGTCCAGCCTTAAAACCCTGAATAAAGGATAAAATCTCAGCCCAAATGAATCCTCAAGACATATGAAACCTGAACAGCCCAATTATGTGTTTATTTAAAGCAAACATAGAATCCACAGATCTCATTTATAGTTTTTTGATCAGGCAATTGTGATGAGTGCAACCAATGGTGGGTAAGTGTGATGGCCTTAGAAGTGGAAGGAGGGTATTTTGATCACCTGGGGAAGCAGAAATCCAACATAACAGCAACAACTTTTTTCTTATGTTTTTGTAATTTTTTTTGATGAATTTATATTTTTGTAATTTCAGTAATATATAAATATGTTCTGTGTGGCAACATTAACAAAATGATAGCATAAAATGAAGATCTACAGCCCTCTCTAAAGAAGATTTCATGTCTAAAATTAAGCCAAATCCCCATAACAAACCCAAATTCCTAAATACAGATTCTGTTTTTCTCCTAGGATTTCCAATTGTAATTTTACATGGGGAAATATGCAATATCTTTTCTATTGAAAATAGCTTGATGAATCTGATTTAAATGATCAACCTAAAGGTTATTTTTATGCTTTCCCAATGTCAGGTGTGTGTGTGTGTGTTTATGTATAAGAAATGTATATAGATGACATTATGATCTTCAAGATATAAAAAGTCATTACCATTTCTGGCAGCATTAACAATGTGTTGTGCTTCTTGTTCTGCAGCTAGCAGGAGCTGAATTCCGCCTTGACCCCTATTGGCATCCATGATTTCCTGCAGATACTGCAGCAAACTCAAATAATAAGATCAACATGACCAAAGAGTACAGGAGCCAAAGAAACACAACCCTTGAAGAATGGCCAATCTAGTGTAGTTTTTCTGTAAGCACCCTTAACAATAAACAGTGATACAAGGAATTACAATATAATTATGGCTCCCATGAACTACTAAACTATGATGTATGGTTCAAATATAAAGTTTGGAAAATAAGTTCAATTTTATGGCATCAACAATATCTGATTGGTCAGAAAAAACATATCTTTCATTGTATACATGATAAAGATAAACTGATAGTGACTTGTCATAATTATTTCCTATCTCTAAAGACACACACACACAACCACAAGACCATAGTTGTCAAGGCCCGCTAGGCGACAAGGTGCCCTTGGAGGCTCGCCTCGCCCAGTTTTGTGCACTGGGTTATAAAATACTTTTATATTTTTAATTTTTTGACATTATAATTATAGAATAGACATTATTAAACTAGAATATTCATTTTATGTGTTTATATACTAATTTGTTTTTATTATTTTCTTATTTTGTTAGGGTTTAATCAACACAAACATTGCTAACTGCTGTATTCAAAGTATCGATACACCTCTGTGTATTGGCAGAGGTGTATCGGTACTTATAACGATACTGCCCCTATTTTTTTTATTTCTTTGGTTTTCAATTTCATTTATATATATATATATATATAGGTCCCTAAAAACACCTGTAAACAGGTATCGGGAACCCAAAGATACAATACAATACACCCGATACAGGGCGTATCGTATCGAAATTTTGATCCTTGATTGAACCCTCAAAAATTTCAAAACCTAAACCAATAAGCAAGGGAAGAACTTAAAATTTTGTCTAATCAACACATTTTCTTCTTCCACATCTTCTTCTTCCACCTTTTCTTTTCTACTTTCCTATAACAAAAGTAGGGGTTGAGCCCCTATATTTTTTGAAATTTCTTTCCTTCGTTTTTTTTCTTCTCATAAAATGTTGATTTCCTAGACTTAAACATGAAATTTATACTTCTCTTATGAAAATTATGAATAGTTATTAAGGAAAGATGGTTATGAAACCTAGGGAACTACCCTAGGATAAATGGTTTTACTTAAAAAAAATCCATCGCCTAGGCATTGCCTAGGTGCCCCCCTGTCACCTAGGCTCGCCTTGGCGCCTTGAAAACTATGCACAAGACATCTCCTCACCATCTAAAAATTGGGAGAATATGTTTTTTAGTACTGTGAGAACCTCAGTGGAAGATTAAGCAATTAATACACACTTCCAACATCTATTCATCTACACAATTCGTGTTGCCATTAAGGAAATGATGACTATATAATTGGTTTTGATGTTTTGTGTTCCTATTCTTCTGCTGAATCAACAGCAATGCTGGTTTCTTGGGTATATTCCCCACTCCCCCCCCCCCCCTCCACCTGGTACTTTGGTGGTTGCCTTTCCAATACATCTCTATTACAGTATTACCAAGGTTACTACCATCTAGTAAGCTTGATTGACTACATTTTAACATTTGAAGGGGTTTTGTCTCTCCAACTTGATGGATTTTCAAAATACCAATGAATGACAAATGGTTGTGGGGTTGTCCTAACTGGTAAGAGAATGCTTTTGATCCTTTTGGCCCGAAATTTAATTTTATTGGATTACTTATGCCTTTTGAATTGGGTTCCTACCCACTTCAATGTGATCAAACCTTTCCCCTCCAATATTTCAAGTATCTGCTTTTATGCGTTTTGTATTAGAACTTCAGCTGAATCACCGGAGTTGGGTTTGAATGGAAACAATTATGGATTCTTGAAGTTGCAATTCATCAATTGGGTGTTCAAAAACCATGTGAAACGAAATCGATTTACATTTTAAGGAATGAGATTTCTGAAAGAGTCCCATTACTTCAAAAAACATGTGAATACAAGTTACCTTTTCTCCCATTACTTCAAATATGAAAAAGAAATGGTTCAGGTAGTTGTCAAGGATTTTTAGAACACACTTCTCTTCTGTACTAGCATTCCATCAAAAAAAGATCATTTTACATGTTCAAAGTATGTTTTCAAATGCTACGAGTATAACCAACATCTTAAAAGAACTTCTTATGGGTGTGATCTGATAAGAATGAATTGATTCTGTTGATCTCGATTTCGATGACATTAGCCAATAGTAAGTTACACTTTTTGGATATCTGAAACTAGTTTCCGCAATTAAATAATATCCCATACAAAAAGTGTATACATCGTCCAAAATCTATGAAATCAAAGAAAAAGAGAAATTTTACATAATAAATTGGATGAGAAATCTACATGAAAAAAAGAAGAAGAGAAAAATCAAAATATGGATCAAATCGACCATTAAACTACGAATTTTCTCTTTTTAGCTAAAAACATCACGTAAGTAAACAGTCAATTGGAAAACCAGAGATCTCCAAAGAAAAAGAAAAAAAACATGGAATTACCTGTGCTTGGAAACCAGTGGTCAATTAGCCGGTGTTAGGAGATCAAACGCCGGATCAGTTGAAGCGTTTTGCTCCTTTGGGGTTTTTGTGAGCAAAAAAACCCTAGTCGCCTTTCACTCTTTATGTCTAGTAACGATTACTTCTGATCGAGAAAACAGGAAGTTGTTCTATATCGAGCAGCGTTTCTCTAGATCCGGTGTCGGTCACTTTATCCGCTTTCTGAGAAGATTCACAAATTCGTCCTTTCTCGTAGTGAAATGACCAACCTGATCTTGTGGCATACATGGACGATGGATAATAGATCTAGCCCATAAGGATCTTACCCACAGGACACTATAGCCGTACGTTCGGAACATCCGGATTCTTGTGGGTAGGAATCAGAATTGCCCTTAAACCCATGCTGCACGATCAACAATCACTAGTGTTGTTTATTCAGTTGGATCGGTTCAGTTGGAATTAAACCTATTTATTCATAGGGCTGGGTTTGGTCCAGACTTTTCCTCTTTATTAATAAAACATAAACCAGGTTCAATTATTGGAATTAGATCTTGAGTTCGAGCTCAACTCTCATATGAAGCTTGAAATTTGGGTTCGATCCTAAAGCCTGATTAAGAAGTCGGGCAAGAAGATTTTTTAATTTTTTTTTATTCAACAATAAAACTGATTTATTTATATTAAATGACCTTAAAATCCAAAAATATTAAAAGATCTCACTGACTTAAAAAAAAAGACAAGAGAAGCAAAGAAAAAATATATATTATATATTTTTATCATACAAAACATATTTGTAATTATATAAAATATTATTAGGTTAGGTTCAAGCTTGGGCAAGCTATTTTGAGAAAGCCCAAGCCCAGCCTAAAAAAAAGTCTCACTTAGTATTTTGGGCCTGAGCTTGAGCTTGTAGGCCTAAAATCTTGTCCAAGCTTAACGATTAACAAGTCTAGTTGGAATTGGGAACCAGATCGATTTTCAGTTTGGCCTTTTAATAAACCAAACTGAACTCAATTCTGAAACCAAACATGATTTGGTTTGATATTGGTTTTTAAAGGATCATCCGGTTATATAAAAATACAAATATTAATGAGGCATTAGGCAAGTCTTTTCATGCAGTCTTTCGAGCTTTTCAAAGCTTGGAGTACCAAAATTTGGTATTTCCATATTTGACAATGAAAGACAAAGAAGCCAAAAAGACTAATGCCCTAAAATGCTCATGAAAGCCCAAAATGCCCAAATATCTAGAAATGAGAGTTCCTATCTTTTTGCACTTAAAATCTTTCATTTAACGGCTCTTTAGATCATGTACTCATGGTAGACTAGGATACTTGTCAAATAGTTTAGATCTTTAAAGACAAGACCCCAAAATGCTCATCACATCTTTTGGTTATTTAGGCCGTTAAGACTTGACAAATGGCGCAGAAGTATTTGTAATACATGCATACATACATACATACATACATACAAACATCCGAAATTTTTAGAAAACTAAATCTAAAACCAAACCAAAATCCAAATAAGCCAAACCGAATTGAGCTATTGGGTTCGGTTCAATTTGATTTTCCATTGGTAATCAATTTGAACACCCTTAAGCTCAATTAACCTTTAGATTGGGACCATTACCAATGACAAATTATAGGAAAGCAAAATAGCTTAACTTGATTTCTGTGTTTTAAGGTTGTGGGATCAATCATAACGTTCCATGCCAGCCATAAGTTGTGAGTCACATACACTTTATAGCTGGCCTATGCATTATGATTGGTTCTACAGCTCGGAATATAGCTATCAAATTCAGCTAATCCATTCTTATAGGCCCAAGACCCCATGGGCTAGAGGCAAAATTACAAACAGAAGGTTAGGCACCTTATCAAGAATAAACATACCAGCCTATTGTGTATAATTTTGTCTCTAGACCATCCAAACTTGATATGTGGAGGTTTTCTCTGCTCATCACTGCACCCCAAGTATTTGTCTCCCTACAAATGCTTATATTAGCATTAAGTGCCCGCTTTAAAGGGCTGAATCACATTGGTTTCTCATTGTCTATAAGCTATGTTTATTGAAAAACATAGAGGGGGCATTCTTTTTTTGGATTTTGAGAGGGGGGAAAGTTGGTCAATGATATTTTGGTTCCCATTGACCAAGAATCCCATGTTCTTTTTTCAGCTTTACGTGGGGATTAGGGAAAGTTTGTTTTCCTGCATACCACTTACCCGAGAAAGTGATGCCCATCTCCTAGATGGGTAAATAACCTTTCCACATAGGGGGAAAGTTGCCAACACTTGAATTGGAAAAAAATGCCCATTTTAATAATGAATTTCTATAGCTAAAATGGTCATTGCCTTATTTACCTTGAAAATAAAGGAACATGGTAAATGAACTTACCTGGGTAAATGTTTCCTAGGAAAAACATACTAGGTAATTGTATTTACCTGGGTAAGTAACTTACCAAAAAGTGAATGGGGTCAGAGAGACAAGTGCCTGTTTGGAAGGGTTTTTGAGGCATGACTTAGCTTCTAAAGTTTTTAGTTAATTTTCACATTGAAATGTAAGAAGTTGTGTTTAGTGAAAATTTGGGAAAACAAATCAGTGTTTCAAACACAACTTGAGCGGCTAAAATATGAAGCTTCTTTGAGTAACTTACCTAGGGGTGAGCAAAAAAACCGAACCAAAAAATCAGTTAACTGAATCGGTCAGTTTAGTTTCAGTTAACCATTTAATAAAACCGGCGGTTAACCAAACCGACCGATATATATAAAGTAATCTATATATATATTATTTTTTTGAAAATCGAATATACACTTTCAGTAGTAGACTTTTCAGACTTTCTCTTTGAAAGTTTCAAAAGGAGCTTTGAAAATCGAAAATGGAAAGTTTCAAAGAGAAAGAGAAATTTTTGGCCTTGCCAAAGTGCCAGATTGGAGACTGTCAGTCTCTTAGTCTTGAAAATCGAAAAGTTTTAGGCTTTAGCCCTTTCTTCTCTTTTTTCTCGGTGGTTTTCTTTCCACCAGAAGTTTCTTCGAATTACACTCTCAGTCTCTCACAATCTCACTCTCTCAGACTCTCAGTTTCTTCCCCAACAGACCGACGGCCTCCTGTGCTCCACCCTCTGACCGAATCATTGATGGCTGGCATCTCCTCTCAGATTCAGCCTTCATTCTCTCGGACCGGTATTTGGCGTCTTTTCTCAAATCTGAAATCTCAATCTCTCATCTCTCAGTCTCTCTCTCATTCGACACTCACTCGACACTCGGACTCACTAATCTCTCTCAATCTCTTTTCTCAATATCAGTCACCCATCTCTCTCAATCTCTCTCTCATCTCTCTCACTCTCAATTCACAGTTCGTTCACTCTCTTCAGACCATCAACAGGGAAGGTTTTTCCCCTTTTTTTTAATATTGAGGGCATAAAAAAAACCAAAAAACCGAACCATGGTTAACCAGTCCATCGGTTGCATCGGTTCGGTTTTGGTTTGGTTAAATTGAAAAACCAAATAGTTCAGTTCGATCTAGAAAATCAACCCATGGTTCAGTTAATCGAACCATGAGCACCCCTAAACTTACCCAGAGGCCAGAACACTAAACACCTATGCTCAATATGAGGCTATGAGTCACTTCTTCGTAGTAGCATCTAAAAGAAGTTTTCCTCCCAAAAGCAATACCTTGTCTAGAGGAGTGTGGATCAGGTAGGCACGTCATTGTTAGCATGTTAAATGAGCACTTTCAAAATTTTTTTGACACCTGTCCCTTGAAATGCCCCCAACCTGCCCTTGAAAAAGATTAAAGACAACTTTTAATAGTTGTTAGAATATTTATAATGTGCTCACTGAATGTGCTTCCTATGTTGTGCCTACTGGATCTGGTTCCTATCCATAGCGCGATGAGGTTCATCTAGGGATGCAAACGGATTGGAACAAATTCAAATAAGGGTATATTTGAATACGGTCTGACACTATTCATATTGGATCCGACCCGATCCGAAGATCCGATTGGATCTGATAGGACTCGATCTGAATTCAAATCCTATCGGATCTTCGGATCTTCGGTCTGACACTATATATATATATGTATATAGTGTCAACGTGCATTGCATGTTGAAATTTTAAATTACAATGACAATTTTTATCATCACCATTATTATTATTATTATTATTATTATTATTATTATTATTATTATTATTATTTAATTTCGTGTTCTATTTCCGTCATAAATAAAAATAATTATTATTTTAACAATTTTTTGTTTAATATGATAAATATATAATATTAGAAATGTCCCCAAATGTTTTCGACAAAATTGTATACTTCTCATTTTTTATGTTTTATCTTTTTTAAATATTAATTATTCAATTATGACATCACCATGAGTTTATTTGAAAAGTTTGATCATTAACCCACCATCTAGATAGGAAAATAGCCTTGGTTTCAGATCAATTTTAAATTACATATTTCATCTACATTATATAAATAAGGTTTTTTTATCATACTTAATTTTTATTTGATATAATTAATATATAATATTATATATGTTTCCAATTTTTTTTATAATTTTTATATTTTTGATTCCTTATGCCTTTTTTTATTTTTTAAAAATTTATTATTTTATAACATCATTGGTTAATCCATTTAAACCAAACAACTAACCCACCACCCAAACCATTTATTATTGCATTTCCATCATTGATAAAATTATGTATAATACTTATTTTTGTTCAATATAATGAATGTATAATATTATAGATAGACCCAATATTTTATTTTTTTATAAATATATAACGTCAAATATGTGCCCAAATTGTTATCTAATTTTTTCTTTATTTTTGTGATTTTTTGTATTTTTATTTTAAAAATTTTATTATTTGACTATGACATCATTTAATTTAATTTCAAGGTTTTTTTAGATTTATAAATCCATTGTCATTGTTAATAAAAAATATCTTACGTTTCATACTTAAATTTTATTTAGTATAATGAATATATAATACTAGAGATATGCTCAATTCCTTTTTTTTATTTTTATATATTATTTATGATTTTTATTATTTAATTATGGCATTATTGGTTAACCCATTTGACCCAAATGGTTAAATTTCTTACCCACCACCGGGAGGGAAGAAAATGGTTTTATTTTCAAATTATGTTTTTACAATATTTATTTTTATACTATTAAAATCAATGTTTTGCATTTAATTAATAGAATTTAATTATGAGAGAAATATATCTTAAATATAGGATTTAATGAGAGAGTATACCTTAGATATGAGACTTAATGAGAGAGAATAAGAAAATAATTTTATTTCCAATTGGTTTTAAATTTTGTATTCAATTTCCATCATTAATAAAAGTATTTCTTTTTTTTTTGAAAGATGAAATAGAACATTATATTAACTATACGAAATAGATACAAAGTTTGAGATGTTATCTACATTAGGAGGATAATTATCTAACAAAAAGAACCCCTGAGTGAGATTTTTACTTTTACATGCTATTTGATGGGCAGTACCATTAAACCTTCTATTAATATAACTACATTTCACAGATTGAAAATTCTGAAGGAGGCTGATTGCTTGGCTTAGTTGATGGAAAAGAGGCAATTGAGTAGTTTGTTTCCCTTGAAGAGTTTGTATTACGAGTTGTGAATTTGAGAAGAGCAAAATATGTTGCTTTCTGAATTTCTAAGCTTGAAGTAGACCTTGGTATATAGTATAAAGTTTTGTAGCTTCTACTGAATTTAAAACTTTTCTTCCTCCTGAGATTTGAAAACATTCTAGATTTGGATTGAGGAGAATAGTTCCTAAGCAAAATTCATGATTAGATATCTTCCCTACATTTATGAAAATAATTCCATCTATATGTGGCTACACAGATATAGTCAATTGATTGCTTGAAATTGGTGTTAAATTTTGAGAATTGTTATTAAGAGAAAGATTGTTAAAAATGGTATTGATTTTCTGTAAAATCCAATGGTTTGAAACAACTATATCTTTGAAAGATTTTTCTTTTCAAGCAAACCAAATATAGTAAAGAGCAATTGCAAATCAACTTAGGGATTTTAACAAATTGTTTGTTTCTGGGAAAAGGTTATGGAGATATAGAATGCATTCCTGCTAATTTGAACAATGAGAGAAGTTGATATTCCAAGGAGACACAAATAAGATAGATTGAGTAAAGGCACATTCTAGGAAGAGATGATAAAGAGTTCCAGAACTATTTTGACAAAAAACACAAGATTGATCCTGGATATTAAAAATCTAAGTTTTAACAGGAATGAAATTTTGAATAACTCGCCACAGAAATAATTGATATCTAGGTGGGCAGGGAAGTTTCCAGATCCATTTAAAGCACTTTTTGAGATTATCTGAGATATTTGGGATATTATCTTGAATTAAATCTCTGAGATATTTGGGTAAATTGGAGTTTGACAAATGAGATGAATTTGATCCAAATTAAAAGATTGCTGAAGAATGGAAATGTCCCAAGTATCCTGATGAATGATATTATTAAATTTGAGTTGGGATACATGACGAGGGGTAGGCTGAGGTAACATGTGGAAATTGTCATTAGCTTGAATCCAAGGTAGAGTAGCAATATATTCAGAAGAAGAAGGTTTAACTATAAGGCCTAATTCTTGAAAAAGGAGTTGTAATTTATGCCCTGTTGATTTCCAGAAAGGAGAGCTGTGAGTAGGGATAGTAGATGGAAAAAGGGAATTAATGAACAGATACTTTGATTTCCAAATTTGGGCCCAAAGTTTATGCTGCTCATTTAGATATCTCCAGGCAAGCTTTTTGAGAAGAACTAGATTAACTAGTTTAAGAAGTTTAAAGCCTAAGCCTCAGAAGATCTAGGAACAACTAGTGATTTCTAGGGGCTTCAATGAAAAGGATGGGGATTAGAGTCAGATTTGGCCCACTAAGTTTTTTTTGATAGTTCTATACAAGTAATGGTTTTCTAAGGGAGTTGGATTACATACATAGTATAGGTTGGCATGTCTTGGAGAACAGATTGGATCAAAATCCTTTTACCAACTTGACTTATTGTCGTAGCTTTCCAGTAATTAAGTTTGGCTTTGAGATTGTCTAGAATATAGGAAAGCTGAGAATGCTTATTTCGACCCTAGAGTAAAGGTAGACCCAAATATTTAGAATTTGGAGAAAGGTTTTGGATATGGAGTTGACGACAGATCATTCTTTGATGTCTTTGATGAAAAATTTTATTGAAATAAATCTCATATTTTTCAAGATTAATCAGTTGACTTGAAGCTTCTTGAAAAGTTTGTAGAATTGTATTCAGATTGTCTAGTTCATCTGTATGTCCTCTCATGAAAAGGAGAATATCATCGACAAAGAAAAGATGAGTGATGGAAGGAGCTCTAGCAGACAGTTTAATACCCCGAATCTGTTGATTAGTTTCAAATTTGATGATTAAACGGGCAAGGCCTTCCATGGATAGAATAAACAAATAGGGGGATAAAGGATCCCCTTGTTTAAGACCTCTTGTAAGCTGAATTTTGCCTTCTGAAGTACCATTTATGAGAATAGAGTAGGAGACAATAGAAAGATATTCATGGATGATTTGACAGAAGTCTTTAGAAAAACCTAAAGCTTTTATGACTTTTAGAAGAAAAGACCACTCAAGTTTATTATAGGCTTTGGACATATCTAATTTGATTGCCACGTAGTCTGTACCCTGTTTATGTTGCTTTAAGAAATGGAATATTTCATGAGCTATTATGGTATTATCCATTATTTGACGTCTAGGTACAAAAGCAGCTTGGTTTAGGGAGATGCATTTATCTAGAATTGTACGAATTTTGGTAGCTAAAATTTTTTAGATGATTTTGTAGAGGACATTGCAAAGACTGATGGGATAGTAGTCCTGGACTTTAGTACAATTGATATTTTTTGGAATTAGGCACAAAAAAGTATGATTGAGACTTTTCAGAAGTTTCTTGTTCCTAAAGAATTCCTGAGCAAAGTCTATAGTTTCTGAGCTTATTAGATCCCAGTACTTTTTATAGACTAAGGCTGGCATTCCATCCGGTCCAGGAGATTTTAAGCTACCAATACTGAATAAAGCTATTTTAACTTCATCTTTAGAGGGGATAGCTGTTAGGAAGTTATTCTCTTCCTCTGAGATAAGCGGGGTAAAAAGGTCTGACACAAAGGATAAATCAGGTTGAGGTTAGTAAGAGAATAAATATGAGAAATAATTAATAAAAACCTCTGAGATATCCTTATGATTTGTCACCCAAGAATTATTATGGTGTTTTACTCCTTGAATTTCATTCTTCTTCTGTTTGTAAATAGTACTTTTATGGAAAAAGTTGGTATTTTTGTCTCCCAAAGACAACCAAATTTGTTTGGATTTTTGTCTCCAAAAACTCTCTATTTGTGATTGTGTATCATCATAGAGTTTATACAAATGTGAGAGCTTGTCCTGATCCCACGGAGCACATTGTTCCATATGAATAATTTGTTGTTCTATTTCTCCCAATCTCTTTTGAGGATCTACAAATTTCTTTTTCCGCCATTGGACAAGATCAAATTTCATATTGTAAGAGATACAAACTGTTGAAGAGCTCCCCTCTTAGGAGAGAAAAGTGATAATCTTCTACATGATTTTGCTTTCAAACTCTTGTCTCCTTCGGATTTGGTGGTTGTGAAGGATTGCCATCTACTCACGATGCCTATTGTCTTAGTTGTTTGTATTTCTTACTTATCATACTTTTTCTTGTCTAATATGATGAATATATGATATTAAATATGTTCCTAGATTTTTCTTTAATTTCCGTATTTTTTGCATTTTATCAAATTTTAATTTTTTATTATTTAATTGTGGCAACAATAAAACATGGGTTGGCCTATTTGACCCAAAATTATTTAAATTTTTATGTTAATAGAGTTATTTATGTATGGATTTAATTAGTGGAATTTAGTAATTAAAAGAAACAAAAATGCCTTAAATGTATGGTTAAATGAGGGTGAATGAGAATTAATACCTTAAATAGAATTTAATGAGAGGGAATTGAATGCATTGAGTAATAGTATTCAAATTACATATATTTTCTGCCCTCATAATAGATAGGGACCCTATTTCAAAAAAGGGATATTTTAGTCTAAAAAAATTCCAGAAATTTTAGACCCTATTCGTACTTTTTATAGTAGTATAGATATAACATATCTGATTGGATATTCTCGAATCGAATAGGGGTGATCTCAATCCAATCCAATTTTTGATCAGATCATAAGATCCTATCCAATCCAAAAATCCGATCAGAAGTGATCTGAATTCGATCAAATAGGTTCATCTGACTTCTTTGGGCCAAACATAGGATCGGATCCATTTGTGCCCCTAGGTTCATATGACTTCTTTGGGCCCGTTCGGGATGGATGAATTGAAAACTCAGCTATGCTGGTTCAACCGGAGATTCAGCTCATCAAACTCTAAGACTATTGCGGATTGTTGTAAACTCTAAGACTACTAAACTTCTAAGTCTAATAAAAAAATATTAATACATAGTATAATTTTGTAAAATTTATAACTAATATATTTATATATTTAGTATACATGTATAAATTAAAATAATATATTTTTTTAATTTTTTAAACATTTGCTATTTTAAACAGATTAAATCCGAATCCAATCCAAAATTCGATATAGTTGATTCAGATCGGATTGGGATCCAAGGTTTGATAAATGCAAATGTAGCTGAATCTTTAAGCCTCATTAGCCAGGTATCAACAAACTTATGTAGATTATGTTATTTCTGCAGCTGAACCAAAACTTATGTTTCGTTCGATCAGCCCTCCAAACGGGTCCTTCCTACGAAGCCATATGAGCTTTATAAGGCTTTTCTTGCCCATTTAAATGGATTGTAAATCATAGATATATAACATGAATTGAAACTTATTGATCGACCCAAAATGAATTGGAACTTAATAAAGGAAACCTGTCTATTGAAAAAACAAATACTAACAAATGTATTTCTTTTACATCTGAACCACTGTTCTGCTTAAGTTTAATTAATTTGATAAAAGAAGATCGATGAACACAAGACAGAAATCTTCTGGCCTTTATTCCATCAAATGATGATTCCAAGCAAACATAATGTTCAAACAAGAATTTCCATGCACGATGTTTAACCAACCAATGACAGACAAATCGATAAATAGTTGAAAATATTATACGAATTGTTGACGTACGCCATGCACACAGCTGATACCTGTAAATCAATCCTTGTGTCGAAAATGGTGATGACTGGAACCAGAAGAGGAAGAGGAGACCTCTAAACCATGATGACCGACCTTCTTGTTCTTGATTTTTTCTTTTATATGCACATCGTCCTCAATGGTTACTACTGCTGCTTGCCCACAGTGCGGCCCAGGGACGATGGCCTCCTGAACTCTTATATGTTCGTCAACATCTATGACTTCAGTCTCTTGACACTTCTTCTTCTTCTTGGCAAAACAGCAGAGACAAGCTGCGAGGAAGGCGAGGAAGAAGAGACCACCAAGTGAAGCACACACAGCAACTATAACTGTGGAGTGGTGTCCTGAGTGTGAGGGAGGTGCTGGCGTGGGGACAATACTATAAGGTGGTGGCGGTGGTGGTGGTCGCAGAACTGGAGATGGAGGTTTTGCTATTGGGGGTGGCGGGGGTGGGGGTGGTCGCACTATTGGAGAAGGAGGCTTTGCTGTTGAGGGTGGTGGTGGTGGTTGAAAGAAGGGAGGGGGAGGAGGGGGCGCTCCGTAGGATGACGGTGGTGGTGGCGGAGGACTGAAGATGAGGGGTGGAGGTGGCGGAGAAAAATATGGGAAGCCGTACACAGCCATTTCCCCCCCTGAAAATGTTGATGTGAAGAAGGAGAAGAAGAAGAAAAAGAGGAGATAGATGAACCAAAGATGGTACAGACGTGCACTATTTATACCAAGTGAGTTAAGGGGGAAGTGGCTGAATTCTCAATATTTTATGGAGAAGTATATATTCTTGTGAGTTCTTGCTGGGAGGCTTGATATATTCCCCTGTTAAGCTTTCTAAGAGTTGTCATTGATTGCATTCTACTTCTCTCAGTCTCTTAATTTTGTCTTGTTTTTTCTTACGCCTCAAGATATGGGAAATTCAACGAGGAAATATATATTGCATGAATGGGTGTAGGGAGGTTTTGCTATTATAAATTTATAATCAAAATATCCTTGACTTTTGTTAAGTTAGCAAATGAGCTTAATAACTTAGGCTGTAAATTTATTTTTTTATATTAATGTTCAAAAATTTGAAAACTTTATTTTATATTTGAAGAAATGATCTACAAGCTAGATTAGTAACCTATCAAAACCCCTTGGTTGGATCAGTTGAACCAAAATTACATATCCAAATATTGTAATGAATGATCAAACCCATTCATATTAATAGGATAGAGAGAGCCCAAACAAGAAGGTTTTGTGACTTGCAAAGAGATCATATCCCAGGGAATGTAGTAGGCACGCTAGGTAAGCTGAACACGTAATAGCTGTGTGACACATGTCTTAATTAATGCGCCTTTTACCTGAACATTTTTGCTTCATTAGACAGAAATTATTCATTATTTTATTATCTTTGCCAAAATAATTAAAAATAAAAACAATGAAAAAGGAAAACCTAAACGTGTTGGGAGTTGGGACTCATTTACGTTTTTCTTTTTCGTTGTTTTTATTTAATTATTTTGACAAAAATAATAAAATAATGGATAATTCCTGTCTAATGGAGCAAAAACGTTTGGGTGAAAGGCACATTAATTAAGACATGTGTCACACAGCTATTACGTGCTCACTCATTGTGCTTACCTCACTCATTGTGACACATGTCCTAGTTAATGTGCCTTTCATCCAAACATTGTTGTTCCGTTAGAAATTATCCATTACTTTATTATCTTTGTTAAAATAATTAAAAATAAAAACAATGAAAAAGGAAAACCTAAACGAGTTCCCAACCCTTGTTTAGGAGTGCTTCTTTTTGGTGCTTATTGGAAAAAACACTTACAAGATTTCAAAAACACCTGAAAAAGCACTTATGGGCATTTGGTAAAAAAATCAAGAGAACAAGACTATGTTTGGTGGGGGCTTCTTGTCCATAGATGGATTTTCTTAGAAGCGTGTTTTCGACATGCAAGTGCTTCTGAAAAAGCACTTAAAATCCACTTGGTAAGATGCTTTTTTCTAGTGAAAAAACACTTATTTAACAAAATTGCTTGATCCAAAACGGGCTTTTGCCAATATAAAGATAATATTACTCTCCATCATGTATAAACATTAAAAAATAAACCCTGCTTTTCTAATGGCAAGGGGGTTTCAATCAATCTATGTTCTTTGTATGAATAAAACAAGAAAACGTATGAATCATTATTGGTTCGTCACAAAAACCACTATTGGAGGCATTTTGATTCAAAACAAACAACAATATAAAAAAACAAAAACAAAAACAGAAGGGGTGAGATGGAGTGATGGGAAACAATATTTGATCAATTGTTTTAAGAAAAAATGGCTGAAAATTGAACCTGGTTGTAATTTGCCACCATTGCAAGGGGTGTAAAGTGAAAATGGAAAGGAAAAGTGATGAAAAAGATAGGGCGAGGCATTTAGAGTTGGTGGGGGAATTCTAGATATTAAGAAAAGTTTAAATGGAAAAAAACAGGATGAAAAATAAGAAGCGCTTCTTGAAAATGCAAGAAACCAAAAGCTGCCCATCAACTGCTTTTTCTAATGTGCTTTCTCGATGGAAAAATCTATTTACTGTTTTTTCAGTTAACGCTTTTTGGGGATACTTTTAGCTTCTAAAACACAATAAGTGTTAGAAGCACTTATTTGAAGCCCTGCTAAACATGGCCTAAGCCCATTGCAACTTTCGAGAAAGCGCTTTTTGTGTTTCTGACCAGTCTTGGCCCGCCACCAAATTATCAAAATATCTATGCTACCCCTCAATTTGAAAGAATCGCTTCTTCACCAAACACTCAAAGCTACTTATTTAATAATCACTTATCCAAAAAGCACTTCATAAATTATATGTAAAACCCATGAAGTTTTGCTTCCCCTCCCGGGTGCCAGTTAATTGTATTTGGTACTAGATCATTATTTGTTTTCTCTGTGAGTTCCTATAATCTTTAATATTTTAAATATTTTTGTCAAGTTGGGTATGAATCAATTTTCAATAGTAAAACATTAAAAGATTATAAAAAAAACTTGGGAAAAAACAACAGTTATAACCATGTATGATGGTCAAGGTTGGCATTATTTGTTAGGGATGTTTGGACTATAATCTCCCTCAGAAATTTTTTTTGCAGCCCCCTCCTAATCTATTGGTAGCCCCCCTATAAATTACATCCTGCCCGTGAATTTGGCATCAATCCACGGGCAGGATTCAGTCCACCCCTAGGAAATCCTAGCTCCACCTACGGGTGGACTGAATCATAAAAACCCTTATTTGTTAACCCTTATCTAATTTTATTTTAAACCATTAATTTTAGTTTGCAACCATTACTTGAATCCTAGTTTTTATTTATTTATTTACTTAAATCCTTGTTGAGTTGGATTGATATAACCTCCTTATCACTCTTACGAAGGGTGCTGTAGTCATTAATTCATTATCTTAAACCTTGCCCCATAATTCTCTGTACTCATTTTCTCCCTTGTGTGTTTGAGTTTTGATGGTGGAGTGGTAGATGGTTTGCTAAGAAAGAATTGTTAAGCATACAATTATTTTTTTTTTCTGGTATAGCTTACAAACTCACCATATGCCACATATTTAGAAAATTATCATTTCAAGTTGGTCCCACGACTATTAGTATAGATGGGCCCCACAAAAAGAAATTGCATGCTTACTGCTTAGCATCCTTGTCAAAAACTAAAGTTATATAGCCTGGGTAGCTTGTAACGATGGAGTTGCATGTTCCACTCCAGCAATAATGAATACAGAATATATGGCACAGCAAGCAGAACACGTTACTGTAAATCAAAAGATGTTTAGCTTTAGACAGGTTCTGCCAGTGCTGAAATGCATTTCTGGGTTCCATGATTAACATCTTGCCCAACTACTATAACTTGGCTAACCTAAACTTTAGCTCAGTTATTAAACTTATTACAGCCTGCTCTCTCATTGTTCCAAAAAAAAAAAAAAGCTTGCTCTCTCTCCCCGTCTTTTTGTTTTCCTTTCCGATTTTTAAAACGGACACATCCTTTATCCACCCTACAGTCTAATTTTTAATATCTACATATCAGAGAATATGGATCAAATTAGAATGTTGCAGTTTAACTTCAACAAAATGGCAAACTTCAAAATATTTTCATACAAAATAAGGCACTTTTTCTCCAAACCAAGGGACCCTAGTTAATACCGACCAACAAATTCATTGAATGTCCATTCTGCATTTTAGATTTTATAGTATTTATAAAGGAAAACCAGTGATGTGTAGTTTCCAAGGCAAGACAGAATAGAAGCAACTTATGATTATTCTGCTACTAATTTATCGGGCTCTTACCGAGAAAGTCAGATCTCTTTAGAGGAAGATATGAAGCCTCTTAGTCTTCCTGTTCACTCTATTGACCACAATAAATTTGATGATAAACAGAATGGAAACAATATCCACCTTTGTTAATATCTGATGAGTTTGTCAAAGAAAGCACATCATAAATTATCATGCATAGACTATGGACCTTTCCCCCATGTTCTGCTCAAACCATCTGCATATTTTATCTGCAGGTTTGTCAATCCTCATTTGAGTCTTTCCCCAGCTGTTACAATTTGTTGCCTGCACCCATTGTTGGAGGAAAACTAGAGTTCTGCTTTTTATCTACCATATTTATAGATCTGAATGTTTCAGATGGAGAAATTGATTGGATTGAACAATGTATAGGGAATATGGATATACTATTTTGGTGGGAAATTTGGTTTCAACATATTGTCCTGCGTAATGACTGAATATTAAACAAGAAAAAGAAAAAAACTGCTCACCATCTGAGATGAATTTCCATTATCCTGCTTCAAAGAAAATCTGTACACAAGGATGCTAGGCAATATCAAGTACATGGCCACAAGCTAAGTTCCCTTCTCTTCCCTTTAATTCAGATTGATACAATCACAATTTCCATAGTTCATGTCTTGATCAGTTATCAGGAAAGAGGGAAAAAAGAATCACTGCATGTTAGAGACTCAATTTGACACCTCTTCACATACAAAAGAATTTCAAAAAGAATTTAATCACCAAAAACTTTTCAGTTACAGTCTGCTTAGCTTCAAAAGGGTCTTCTTGGTATTCTGCTTTTTAGCTGCCAAGATAAAAAGAAAAAAAAATATTCATTACTAAATAAAGGATAAAGGATAAACATGAAGAACATACATGAAATCTGATAAAATTCATACAACATAGAGATTACAAATTGAATCAGGATTAAGAGTAAAAGAATCACTTTTCCAATTTTCCAATCTGAGAAGTAAACAAAACAAGGAATAATTTCAACTGAACAAACAAGAAAGTTTAAAATAAGTAAAGAAAATGCATTAGAACAAATGCCTAAAAATTGCAATGTGAAACATATATCATATGTGAGATGCAAAAAAGTAGAGAAAGAAACACAACTTACATTAGGCCTCAGTTCATTGAAAAGAAAGCCCATTCTCTGCAAACAGGTATGAGAAGACAATCTCATTCCACACATCAGGGACTCCAGGAAGACACCAGTGGCTACAATCAGAGACTGAAGGAGTCTCACTCCAAGTACCCACATGTGCATCACTTCGGAAGGCCCCCATGGATGTTACATGCAGAACAGTTACAGGAACTGTCATATTCTTAACTACCTCTATTATGATGTCTGAAAATGGACTTTGGTCTTTTCCTCCGGTTTCCAACATGGGGTGGTCAGTCACCTTGCAAAATCTATGGCTCTGGTCACTGACATAGCAACAAAAGTTAGTTATACCAAGAGTATACATACCTTCCAATGCCTTATCTCAAACACAATAAAGCAAGGAGGAAGTGGATAAAATCAAATAAAGGGAATCTTTGCGGCAATATTTCTGTATCTCTATCATTCTGGCCTCATTATGTGGAGATTTGGTATAGCCAAGGTCATGTCCTTAGTTTGGAGGATTTAGGTTATCCTTTGGTACTGGTTAAGTGGGTTGGTGAGTGAAGGGGATTTCAGTGTGGTAGTCAATTGGCCAAGGGAGGCTTCAAAGACCTATGCCTCTTCCAGATTGAACAGCTCGATTAACTTGCTGCCTATTGGTTCATCCCTTGTCCAACAAAGCTGGCCAAATCAGGTTTTGGTAGAAAGGAATTACAATGGCAGGTAAACATTTTGGATAGTGGGTCTGTATCATATTTCAATTACTGGAACAGAGATCTAACAGGAAAGCTGTACAGTTCCTGATTTTCTGGGTTCAGGATTCAGTTTAACAATAATGACCATGAAAACTGTTCCAAACTGGGAACTAGGTCCTTGCGAAGTTTTCTGGTTCGAGCTTCTGGTCCAGTATATTTTTCTAAACAGAATGGAGGTGAGAAGATACCTGTAGCTGACCCCATATAGTTGGGATAAGGCTTAGAGATGATGGTCTCTGTAATTCTCTTTTGGTTCTATCTTTTTCCGCACATTGTTTTTTGATTCTTTCAGTTTTGGATTTTGTTTGGTTTTCAAGTTGGCATTTGGCTCATCTCTCTTTTTGTTCCTTAGGCTGTGTTTGGTTGCAGTGCAATTTTATTTGTACTAGTACAAATGCATGGGAGTGCAAATTCTCGTTTAATTTTGTTTTGGATTTTACTTTACTCTGCGTCATGTCTTAATTTACTTCATTTGTACTGCAACCAAACAAAATAAGCTAAATTTTGAAACAAAAACAGGTCAGAATCCACACTCAAATCATTTGCACTGCCATGGTTTTGCATCAGTGCAAATTTATTTGCATTGCAACCAAACACAGCCTTAGGGACTGATTTGGGCACATCCCTAGTGAAAAGACAAGGAAACTCCCATTCATAACAACAAAGGCAATACATACACACTTTTTTGTATTTTAAACAAAAACCTTTTGGCCATAGGTTAGGGGTATGCATCTATTGAAAAAAGAAAAACCTTGATGCATTCAAATTATTTACCCAAGTTATTCATTCCTTGAAGAAATAATCCTTATCCATTAGAGAGACAAAAGAAAACATGGTTTTAAGTGGTAAAAAATGACCTAAGAACTTAGAATTTAACAGAAAATATAGCTCTTGATGGATCACAAGATAGAAGTCATGTAGCAGACCCCAAATAGTTGGGATTAAGGCTAAGTTCAGTTGAGTTTAATTGCTTTAGGGTTATTCAAATCTTGTTGCAGCAATAACTCTGTTGTAAAATAGTTATTGGAATGAAATGTAATCAAAAACATTTTCTAATAGGTGAATAATATACAGAATGTATTTCCCTTAAACCCACACAAAGCAACAGTTACTATGGATATAACTTCATCAGAAAACTGAGCTGCTGCAACTGAGCACCCCTTCAGGGTGTTGTTCTCAGCTTAGCTGGAGACTGTGAATATTTATTCATCGCAGCTTTTCCAGCAAGTTGTGGCTGAAATTTTGGTAAATCTTCAGAATGGAAAGGATGTTTTCCAGATACTGTTGAAGCCTTTCTCCATGGGTGGTCTTTGATAGGTTTGAGCAAAAGAGAGAGTAATTTGGAATATGGTACTGTGTTGCTATATTTTGAACATTGTGGGATGACAGAAACGCTTACATCTTTGAAAGTAAAATACGTGAAGTAGAGGTGGTAAACAAAGAAAGCAATGGATTCTCTATGTTCGCCAAGGACCAGCTAGAGAAGGAAACTCTTTGAATGCTGAAATGTTAACACTTCTCCATGGACTCAGGCTAAGTAGATCAATGGGCTGGACTGAATTATCCATTAGAGGTAACTGCCAAATTGTGATTGGATGGGTCACACCAGAGGGTCATGACCAATGGAATATAAGGCATTTGATAAGAGAAACCAAGCTATTGGTATCCACAATGAAACACTTGTTCAAATGGATTTCCAGATCAACAAACAGCTTAGCAGAAATGCTAGTCAGAGAGAGAGTAACCAAAAATTTATTAGACTTGGATATGCCTGTTCCTGGGGAAGGACTTTTTTGTCATTAAATGTAACATTATTGATTAAAGTGGAAATATTATATAAGTGTATCAGAACCCTCATAGAGGCCGACTGCTCATCCTCACTACCCCCCCCCCACTCTTTTGCTTACATGTCCTTTTACATCAGGTTTCCCCAATACAATTGTGATCTATGCACTCTCGGCCAGCGCATTGATCTGTGAACCCAACTGAAACTGGGTTCTAGCTGCCCTGTTAATTTGTTGATCGCCTTTATTATGTTCCTGTGGCACCATGCTCCCTGTTTCTTGTTTTTTAGCCAACAATACGATACACCCAGAATTGGATGCATTGTATCGTATCTTTTGTTCACCATTATGCCTATTTTTAAGGCATTTTTTAAGAAACTCATCTTTTAATGATTAAAAAACACACAAATACCCCCCCCACGCCCGCACGCGAAATTTTAAAAAAAAAAACTAAAGAATATAAAAAGCGCAAGGTTTGTTGAAATGCTGTTATTTTGTATGTTTAGTACCGCAGGGGTACTTTAGTACTTTCAGCCTGTTTTATTGTAAGTTGTGTCGCCCGCGCCGCCAGCAGCTTTCTGAGACTCCAAACTTTTGTCTCTCTTCTCTCTCTCTCTTCCCTCTTCTCCTCTGGATAACATGGTATCAGAGCGGGACGTTAGATCCGAAAGAAGAGATCGAACATACCTTCCCTGTCTTCTCCATTTGCCAGATCCAGATCCAGATTCATTGAAGATCCAGATCAAAATTCAGATCGGACTGAAGTACTCTCTCTCCCTTCTTTTTTTATTTTTTTCTGGTTGTGTGCCAGAACAGAACCTGTAATAGGTTCAGGCTGTTAATGTGAGGTGAGCAGTCCCTCTTCTTTCCTTTTTTGTGGGATCAGCTGATCCCTGTTGAAAGCTAAATTACTGTAGCCGAAGTAGCAGAAAAGAGAAGAAGAAGAAGAGATGCAGGAATGTCGAACTTTCTACTCAGTCGATAGTACTATTATTTATATTATGGTGTAGTACAATGATACAGGAAGTTACTAGAATGCCCCTGATTAGTGATGGGACACCCAGACAACTTAAAACATTAAACAGGATTAGGCCCATTAACAAAGGCCCAGTACAGGACAACTTAAACTTAAGTATAGGCTA